CTAATGCTTTGTAGTCTAGTAACAGTACTTCAAAAGTTACTAAGAAATGGTCGGATAAAGCAGGATTATGCGGTTCGACTAATAGTTGCTCAATTTCAATACCATAAGTCAGAACAAGGTCGAGAGTGTGATTATAGCAGTGGGTTGGTTTATTTACACTCTGACAGAAACCAACAGAATCTAATATAGAGTTAAATGCAACAGTAAGGCTATTTTTATCATCGTCAACATGAATATTAAAGTCACCTACGATAATTACTTTATCTGTTTTAAGTACCAAAGCTGATAAAAACTCAGAGAATTCTGATAAGAATTCTGAATAAGGACCTGGTGCACGGTACACTGTAACAAATAAGATTGGCTGCAAAGTTTTCCAGGTCGGATGCGTAAGACTAAAAACGAGGCTTTCAAAGGAGGTATAATTTAATTTTTGTTTAGTATTGATAAGTAAACTTGAGTCAAAGATTGCTGCAACTCCACCTCCTCGGCCCGTGCCTCGGGCAATATGAGTATTGATATGGCTGGGTGGAGTGGCCTCATTTATGCTGACATATTCTTCATGTCTCAACCAAGTTTCAGTGAGACAGCATATATCAATATTATAATCTGATATTAAATCATTTACCAGTATTGCTTTAGATGCTAGAGATCTTATGTTTAAGAGACCACATTTAATCTTCCTGTTTTGTTGCACTGTAGTAGTTGTTACATTTAATTTTATTAGGTTATTATGTATGACACCTCTATTAGGTTTTACCTTAAATTGTCCTTGGGCAGACACACACACCGTTAATATTGGGTATTTTATTGGGTTCGGGATTCCTATGGATGACTGCCTAGGAGAGAGCGCAGAGAAGCTGACATTAGCATTTAGCTCAGGAGCTTTTTATTATAAATGTTTACCTTTTTGTGTATGGCTTTTTAATAAATGCTTTAGTCAGCTAGAGTGAAATGCCATTTATATATAAAAAGTAATTCAAAATATATATATTTTCCTTTTATATTTAAAGATATATTAAAATTAAATTAAATTAATCCTGAAATATAATTTGATATTTATTTATACTGAAATGCTTTAGAATATTATTTTAAACATAAATTAGATGTTGTGATGTAACCTAACTCTTCTTTTAAACAAAGGCATTTTGTTTCAAAACCTTTTCTCTATCCTGCCCCTTATGTGAATGTGCGAACATAGTTGCATGGGTGTGTGCAGACTAAGTAACATTCATAAAACGAGGTTCAATCTGTAGTTTCCTGTCAGTTTCCCTACATAACTATGTCTGACGCCCACCATTTGGGTGCGTGATGGTCCGCTTGTGTGTCACTATAAAAGCATGCGCTGATCGATGCTCGTCTTTATTACTACATTAAACACTCACTCTTTAGTAATTCAATAAAGCAGGAACAATACCAAGCCATGATAACCCCTGCACTCCCTTACACTCCCAGACCTTAGGAAAATAGGAGTGACCTCAGCTTCATTGATTGAGGGTTTCCATGGCATCATAACGGTCATTCCTCAGCAATGACGGGGTGTGTCTTTTTTGTGCTGAAAGCTCACACACACATCATCCTGTTCATTTGCTATCATGGATTGGACTTTTAGAGATAAACAATAGTGGGCACGTAACCCGCATATATTTCAAACTCTATACATGCTGCATTCCATCATATTTTAACGTTTGTGTTTTATACAGTTTTATTTCATGTGGCTGGATTGAAAAGTTGACTGAATTCATCAACAGGAGCTGGGAGAGCATGGCAAACCAGCTTTTTACCAGGGCAGACTGGCCCAAGCCATCGTCGATATCATAATCCAAAATGGAGGAGTCATGACACTGGATGATCTCAGCAGCCATGACAGTGAGGTCGTCACCCCTATTAGCACAGAATACAAGGTGATTTCCGCAACAACTTTTCTGTCTTTTCTTTGACTACTTGGTCAGCAGCATGAATGACTCAATTGTGTGTTCAGGGTGTGCGTCTGTGGGAGCCTCCTCCTAACAGTCAGGGATTGGCTGCCCTGCTGCTACTCAACATCCTGGACAACTTCCCGCTCAAAGGTATATCCTGGCATGCTGACGTGCCATCAATTACTGCCTTATACAAGAGAATCTCAAATATAGATATTATTCTTGTAACATTGGTGATCAAAATGGCGTTTGGCAGTGTTTACTGATGATTTATCTGCTGAAATCAGAATGACCTAGATTTCCAATTCTCTACCATTCTCAAGCGCTAAAGAAAGGGCATGGTCCTGATTTGCCAAGATGGAAAATTCACCAAGTAGCTCTCAATACTTAATTATGAGCCAATCCTCACACCCAAATATTGATGATCTGCCCCCCTCACTTCGTGAAAACAATTAAGCATAGGCATGCTCACATTATTACTCATAATAGTCTTGTTTTTATTTGTCTTGGATAGGATGTCCTGCTCTTTATATTCCCCCCCCTACAGTACACATTACAATGGAGGAGGTTGTGACTCCATTGATGTGATTCAAAACATTAAATAACACTGCAACAAACAATGATCCATTTCAGTGAACTTTTCACAGTCCATGGATTATTTAAAGCTCTTGAGATATTCGCCCTGGTTCACCCGACAAATAGCCAGTGGGATTTTTCTATTGGATTTTGGACTATTGCAAAAAATAAGCTCTGTGGAAAACAAATATATATGCACTACTTTTTGTTCAGTAAGATACTCTTCACAAAAAAAACACCTTTAATGCTATTGGAAGCCTAATTGCAATAGCTAGCAAAAGCAAGCTTATGTTAGACTACAGTTAATATCAAACAACGGTTGCATGACCTAAACATCACCACCACTTGGATAATTGTGCTAAATAACATTGCTAACAGGCTTAAAGAAAAAAGTTTTAGCTGCTTTGACAAGTTTGTACAGATAGTTGATTGGATGGTTGTTGAAGGTTGCCACACTGTTGATGTTAAAACTACCACAATGTCCAATATACATTTGTCTGAAGTTGCTATGACATTTTATTTACTTCTTAAAGAGGATAAAACCAAAAGTCACACAAAAAATAAGTGTCTGTTGATGATATCGTTCGATTTACACTCATCTGTTGTGTGTGTGTGTGTAGCTGCAGGCCACAACAGCTCTGACTACATCCATGTACTGGTGGAGGCTGTGCGCTTGGCACAAACAGATGCTGTGCGTTACCTGGGCGACCCTGACCATGTGACCATCCCTTTGGAAATGTTGCTGGACAAGAGCTACAGCCACCAGCTAGCACAGCGCATACGCATGGACAGGTGTGTGTAAGTGTGTCTGTCTGTTAGTACCAGTGTGTACCAGTCGTTCTCTGTTGACTTTAGATAGGACTGTAGACTTTTACTCCCCCCCCCCCCTCCCCCCTCCCACCCTGACCTTAACGTCCATCCCTTCATACCTTGGTCTCTCCTCCACTGTTGTGTGTGTGTGTGTGTGTCATTTTTTGGCAACACAATATATTTACTTGGTAGTATCGTAGACTTTGAACCTTTGGCCTTCATCAGTTCTAAAACAAGTAGACAAACACACTTAAAATGTCTTGAATAACATAATGATAACTTTACACAAACACATACATACATATTATTTTGCTGTGTACAAATATATATCCCAATCATACATGTTGCATAGGTTTAGTATCACCCCAAGTCAACCATAATCATTTGAATAAAGCGTAAAATAAATGTGTATCATTACCTGATTACCGTGCAACTATGTTTACATGTATATTATAAAACAGCTTACCGGTAGAAATCAAGGAAAGGCAGTAAATAAGAGATCATATTCACATGCACTGCAATAACCTGTAAAACCTGTGTTTACATGCTGACAGTCAGATTATTAAGTAAACTCCCTATGACATTTTTAAACCAAGACTGGCTTATGGTAAGTGCTTTATGGCGCCTGATGCTGAAGAGTATTTTGTGTCCTGGTCTTAAAATTAGGAATGAAATGCTCTGATAAGACAGGTAGTGATAAAGCACACAATTATTTGGTTTTTAACTTATAACTTGTGCAGTATACCAAACATACAATTTATTTCAATTTTCAATACAATTATTTATCTTTCAGTGACTTTATAAAAAGGGTTTCTATAAAGCAGTTTTTGCTGCACGCTTATTACAAAAAAGATTCCTACAGTTAGATGGCCGGATTGAAATCACCCTGATGCGTTAATGCTACTTTTTAACAGTTGGTGTCGGCAGATGAAAACAGCAGCAACATGATTAATCTATGCATGTTTTTAATTGTGTGTATTTTTCTGCAGGGTCATGGAAGAGGTGGAGCCCGGCTTGATGACAGGAAGTGACACAGTCTATTTTTGTGTGATCGACAGCCAGGGCAACGCTTGTTCATTTGTCAACAGCACATACATGGGCTTTGGCAGTGGGCTGGTCCCTACGGATTGTGGATTCTCACTACAGGTGACTACAGGTCAAATAGAAGTGTCTTTACTCCTCAATGACAGTAACCAAATATATTTAAGTTGTGGACAAAAAAAGACATGTAAGGACATTTTTAGACCACGAAAAACACAAGGAATGAAACAAGATGCATTTTTAAAACATTATGATCCCATTATCACATGGTATTGTAACATTTTCTAGTCTTACAGACCAAACCTATATGGAGACACATTGCTGTAGTCAAGTAATATGTAACAAATGTAATATCCATGGAACACAGAGAAGTAGAATTTATAGTTTGCTTTTAAGAATCACCCTTAAACCTTAAAACTAGTTGAGGAACTAGAAAAAATTGATGTGTGTCATTAAATGAGATTTCTACGTTATTGCCCACAGAACCGGGGTGCCAGCTTTTCTCTGCGTCGTGACCATGTCAACTGTGTTGCTGGAGGGAAGCGGCCGTTTCACACTATAATACCTGCACTTCTCACTGACTCTGCAACCACATCAGAAAAACCAGTCCTTCTCGCTGCGCTGGGGGTGATGGGCGCTTTGATGCAACCGCAAGGACACGTCCAAGTATGATTTAGAATAGACTGGGCTGAATAATGAAATGCAGAACAATATCTATCAGATCAAGTATGGGAAATATGTCCCTGAAACGTTTGTTTTTAATCGTTTACTTTTTGTTTGAATGCAAAAGTTGCTATTGATTATTTTTTTAGTCACAATAGCTCAGAAAGTGAGAAATCCAAATTTGAGACACTTATGACAAAATCATAATAACCTGAACGTTATAAACAAGTTGAATGTGTTTATGAGTTATGATATGATATTGCTCTTCTGTGTTCAGGTGTTGCTAAACATGTTGGAGTTTGGGATGAATCCTCAACAGGCTCTAGACGCACCAAGAGTCTATGTACAATATGACCACACAAGTAAGTATACATATGCGAGTCAGTCAGTGTATTCTATGCCTATGTAAAGCCTCATATTCAGGTTACATTTTCTGTGTGTAGCTGAGCAGTGGTCTGTTAATCTGGAGGAGGGCGTCGGCCAGGAGGTAGCTGAGGAGCTGAGAAGAAGGGGCCACAAAGTCAACTGGCCAATCACAGGTAACCTTTATGTTATGTCACTGCTTCAGAAAGTACAAAATTCCCATTTTATTCATAAAACCCATCATTCATAAAACACCAATGAAAAATAACGGGCAAAAAATACCTTTACAAGGAGTAAAGATGACTCAAAAATGTAATGTATATGCACATGCATCATGTTGCAGACAGGATTTGTTTGTTCCTTCTTTTGTCTTACCCTGGAATCATCCTAGCTGGTTTAGCTTTTACTCTATGCCTTTTTTTTTTTTTAATGGCGTGAAGATGGTATGCTTGTTATTACCATTCGATTTTGATCCCCCTACTATCTGCTACCTTTTTAGTTCTGGAAGATCAGCACCCCTGAATTAAACTAAAAGTCAAATACTGGGATATATTGGTGTCACAGTGCATACTTGTGATAGATAAACAGATAACAAATGAAACATCAACATTGGCTCATCACATTTTGTTTATTTATCTTTTCATTCAAACACACAGGCCACAAACGGTCTCAGTTTGGGCGGGGACAGATCATCACAGTGGGGGATTGGTGGAACCCATCTGTCAATCAAGCTGATCCTCCATCCAGGGTGCTGTGGGCGGGATCTGACCCCAGAGCAGACGGATGTGCTATGGGATACTAAACAGAAGTGACCTTCTCTACTCTTCTCTGTTTATGTAATATTTAGATACATTGATCACGAAGCTTTCTGAAGGCAAATCCCTACATGAGAAATGTAGAACAGTAGTTTTAAACATCTTGCCGTAAAATCATCCACAGAAATCTAAAAACTATTTTCCAACTCAGGTTTATGACATTTTCATAGCACAGCGTCATAGCACAACACATTACAGCTTCATGAATTAGATTATAATACATCTATGGTTCATTTATGAGCTGATGCACTATTACTACTGAAATATAGATAACCACATTGGAAAACAAATCTTTGTGTAACATATCAGAGATGTCTTTCCTTAACCCTGCCCTTTTTTTTCAATAGATAATTACAAATATTAATGATGGGACGGAGTGGCGAACTACAGTTCGAAACCCGCCGCCACTGCGCCATGCCGGTGTGTCCTTGGGCAAGACTCTTCACCCGAATTTGCTCCTGTGGGTACTGTCCACAGTACATGACCGTTACATGTATGATATGTGTGTAATGTGTACTTGATGACTTCGAGGTGTGAAGATGGTCGGAGTGGCGCAGACTGACCGTTACATGTATGATACAGTATGTGTGTAATGTGCATTTGTAAAGCGCTTTGGGAATCTGGAAAAGCGCTATATTAAATGTAAGGAATTATTATTGTTAATTTTTAAATAAAAGACAATGATCACTTTACGTCACCAATAAATGACAGTTCCTCCTTTTTCTCTAGGTGACATTTAATAAAACCTATTGAGTGGAGGAAGTGTACAAATCTGACGTGAACCAAGTTAATCAGTGTTATGTCCTTTTTCATATTGTTCCACACTTAAAGTGAAGCATATGTACTGATTTAACAGTATGTATTTCAAATGATGCTGGATCTAAACAAATGCCAAATAAATGTAATTTATTTCTAAGTGATGCTAAGTGTATTAGACAGTTAAAGAACTAAACAGGTGTTGTTCTTTTACATTTGCAAGGCCTTAAAAAACTATTTATATTTATTTGAGTAATTTATCTTTTTCCAATGTTTTTTCTCTCGCTTTGTTATAGTTTATTTATTCTCCTCACGATTAGAGAATGCCTTTGGCTAAAAATGATGTGTGAAAATAAAATTTGGTTTGCCAGCTCAAACCATAAAAAGCACAAAAGATATCTCGCTGTTTATTATGCCGATAACTGGTAAATTAGCTGAGGCTTTTCCAACTCAACAAGTGTTGTTGATGATTACACTGTCAACCTCCAGGACATGAGTTCATGATATGGTACTTGGCTTCTGATGCTTCTATATATCATGTTTTTAAGGCTAAATGAAGTGTGTGTTTTGCCCTTGTGTATGTTTAAGCTTTATGATTTTGTGAATGTTAAAGCTGTCAGGAAACGCCCCCTGTAACCCATCTAATTACCAAGCAGACAGGACAAATACAGAGACAGAAACACAGGATATTACAAGATATGCAGTTGTAGGGGTTATAAGAACATATAAAACAGCTTGTAAACCACTTGTTCTCTGCAGCAGGCAGCTCAAATATGATTGCACTTCAACACTAATCTCTTAAAGTAGAATCTTAATGTCGGACTTTGTTTCACTGTTGATCTCCTTACAACTCCAAACCGCACCTGGTACCAACTGTTTACACCTATAAAGAGCCATGTGTTCAGTCGCTCAAACACACGTGTTATTCTTAATCTGTCTTAATTAACACTGGTTGAAGCAGCCCGTTAGTGGCCGGTCTGAGTTTACAGCGCCATTTATCTGGATGTGGGACATTCCAGCTGGATTTTGAAGCCGCTCACAACATGCTGGGCCCCTGAAACACATAACACACAGTGTTAGTAGCTTTCTGACACAGCTCTATCAGCAGTCATGTTTTGCCCCACATAGACCTGCTGAGCTGTTCTATCATTCTGACCTAGAAACAGGGGGCCTTGAAAATATATAATTGGATTGGATTGGCACATACAACTAATCTACAATGTTAATGTTACATTTGAAATGTAGAACACAACTATAAATATTTGGCAGTGAAATAATAAGACAACAATTAATTTCATTAATTAATAATTAATTAATTACCCCATAAGTCAGGTTTATGATGTCACATTACAGCATCGTAACATAACACTTTGCATCTTCAAAAAGTATCTTTTTATAACACATCTTGGGTTCAAGCTGTGTTTATAAGCTGCACTACGTAATTTGCACTTAAATATAGAGCAATATATTGGAAAACAAGTCTTTGTGTGACATACCGAAGCAAACCTCAACTCTGCCTTGGTTGATATAACTATCTGTTTTCATGTCTTTAATTAGTTGCTGCTTGTCAAAAAAAATTACGAAATCTTATAGGAAAAATGATCAATTATTGATATTTGTGAGTATATATAAAAAATATACTGTGCAACATATTATAAATGTGAACACCATGTGGATAAAAGGGGATTTGAAAAAAAAAGCACTTGGTATTCTAAGGAAATTAATACTTCAGAATTCTGTGTGACTAAAAGCCTGTGGAAAACACACACACACACACACACACACACACACACACACACACACACACTTTCTATGAGTGTGTTTCCTAGTGTACATTGTGTCATGGGAGAACCTCCTCTAAGGAAGGAGCATCTGTTCAACACCCCTACACACCACTAACACACACACACACACACGTACAAGTAGCTGGCTTTCGTCACTTCTTCTTTTTGTTTCCTGGCTCCCCAGCTGCTCGGACCCTAACCCTCCCCTCTTTCTCGTGCTCTCCTCAACCCACTCCAGTTCTCTCCTCTCCTCACTGCAGTTGTGTGTGTTTTTGGGTGAGCGATGTGTTGTTCCGTGGGTTTCGCCCGGTCTCTGGGCCTGGCCCTGCTGCCTCTGGCCCTCTGCTGTATCGTGGCCAACCTGCTGCTTCTGTTTCCCATGGGAGAAATCACCTACATCCAGCAGGACCGCCTGGCCAGCTACATCTGGTACTTTGGTGGACTAGGAGGAGGGGGAGCACTGGTGAGCAAACAGCTGCCTTTATGTTCTTATATGATGATGAGTATTTGTTATATGTTTTGGTATGGTCACATTGTTTTTGATAGAAACGTTTTCAGTTTGGGTCAGATCATCTGGCTTTCTTTAGGTCAAAGTTAGTTGTCTGAGTTGTTGGGCGTGTGCTCACTAAACACCAGGTGCTGGACATGCAGCAGTGACTTATTTTGAAGAAAGATAACCACATAGTAAGGTCCCATTACTTTACTTAAATTAAATGGAGAGCATGGTAATCCTTTCTTTAAAAGCTATACTTTAGTATCATGGGATATACTTTAACAGCATGAGGTCCAAATTTACTTTTTAAATTTGATTTACATGAAGGTGTCTCTTCCCATGGCAAAAACGGTGTATTCATTCATTTTATACTAATAAGTGACTAAGTAACTGTAAAATGTTTTTATTGCATTAAAACTAAAAAGAAATAACAGTATTTCAGCCATGGGCCGCTCGAGCTCAGCACCGAAAGTACTTTTTAAAAAAGCATCAAAATAAAGCAGCATTCACTGAAAACTAACACTGCTACATTTAGATACACTGTACTAGGAAGTAGACTGAAGCCTTACTTACTTTACATTCATAATGCTTTTTGTTGCAAGTTACATTAATCTGTATGCAGGGTAGGCTTTTGACTCATAGAAACACGATTTTTAGGCTTTTTTTTAAACAAATGTAAATGATTTCCCCTTCAACCACTCAGTCTTAGTGTGCCTGCAGTTGCTCATTGAGAACAATGAAGTGTTGTGGGAATTCACAGTTAATCCGTCTGCTACATGCTGCTGATCTGATGGGTTTATGCTCCGACTGAACTCAAAGGAGCTGTTCTTAATTAGTTTTAAAAAAAAAGACAGTCTCTCCTCTGTCCTACCTTAAACCAGATTAACCTCGCTCACCAGACTAGCACTTGTTTTGGGTATATACAGCTTCATTCAGTAAAATATTGTGATTTTTTTTGGTGGTTTGTAAGAAAAAAGAGAGAGCTGATAAACAGTGTTGCACCTAACTGTGATAGATACCATATCTAAACACCAAACAACTCTAAAAAGAAAGTAGAATGTAAAAAATAAACTATAGCCTACGTGACCAAGCATGTGTCCTCTACAATACCATATTCAACTTTCTGATGCAGAAGAGGGACAATTTAGTCCTTCTCACTTTAAAAAAATTACACTGTACTTTAGTTTCTGCATGTTCTTTTTGCATATGTTATTAGAAAATAGTATTTCTGCAAGCACTTTTTCCATGCTGTTTTCATTGTTTTCCTCTTTGGGCTTTCCCTTTCTTCTTGGAAAAGACAGAACATTTAAAAGTCAAAGAGCAAACTGAACCCCTCTGAGAGAAATCTATCTTTAGCTTCCTCCCTTCCTCCCTCCTTTTTCCTTGTTTCTCCCTCTTCCTTTCTCACTGTGTGCACTTCCCTCTGTATGTTCAGTATCTCTCTTTGGCCCTTTTCAAAGATAATGTTGTATAGGGACATCCAGGATGTGTATGTGACGATGCTCATGATCTCTGAGGCCTTGGGAACTTCCGCCCCCTCAGTTGGGACGTGATTTAAAGACCGTGACCGCTGAGAGAGAGACAACAGCACAGGAAAGAGGAGGAAAGGAAAAAGGGAGGGTGGGAAATTAAAAGAAAACAACCCTGAAACAAACACACAACACATTTATGTAAAGGTCTCATGTCATGGCCATTTCAAATGATTATAATTCCATTTTTTTACTGGGTGGACGGGGCGGGGGTGGGGNNNAATGTGCAGACAGTTTCCCCAGCCCAGGAGCTGAAGGTGCATTTATCGATGGATGGATTTGTGACTGGAAGCACCTGCTAACTTGTTGGAGAGCAAAAAAAAAGCAGAGGACACTGCACAGTCCATGAGCAGGTTGAATGCTACAACCTATTGGTTGACCTGTTAGTGCAATAAAAGAGTTTCCTAACTATTGATAAAAACCCAATTTGGTTCTGTGAAACCTGAAACGGATATTACTTGTTTTTGTTACTTTCGCTCTGTAGTGTTATGTTCTTAAATGTAATTTAAAGGGGACCTATCGTTGCAAAATTACACTCTTGTGATGTCTTTTATACATAAATTATGTCGTCCCCCGGTGCGTTCGCGGGGCAACTCCTGCAGCATCAGAAAATAAAACCCTCTCTCTCTTTTCCTCCGTACCCATCTTTTAAAAACAGCAGGGGTACAACGACGCGCGGATCCGTTTGCTGGCGAATCTGACCGTTTTAAAACGGGGGTACAACGGCAGCGGACCCACAGAAAATTGCTATCAGAAACAATGCCTGATGTGTTTCGGACATAATCTCGTCTTTGTTTACATTAGCAAGCCTCACTAACACTCAGAGCTAACCTGTACTTAAGAGCACATGTGTTTAAAAAGCAGGAAATAAAAAAAGGAACTCACCTTGTGATAAACCCGCAAGAGAAAAAGCATTTGAGCTCCATACTGTTTCAGAAATAATCTTTGATGTGGTTTAAACAGGATGGCGTTTTATCACAACCAAATTTAACTTGATCTCCGGTAGAATTCTGATCAGGCATTTGCTCCGCCTCCTCTTTTTTTTTTTTTTAAGCCAAGGACCCAAAATCCGCGTTTCTCTAACAGGGCTGCAAAAGAGGGGTATGAGCAGTATGAGGCATGGCTACAATGGGTGATCTGTTTGGTATTTTAAGCCAAAAACTTCACAGACATGTTTTGTATAGGTATGGCCTTACAATATATGTTTCCAATATGGCATAATAGGTCCACTTTAAGTTAACTTACTGTTTTATGTAGATGCCTTTTATTTTGAAGGCGGGTTTACGCAGTTGACAGGAAGTTGTTTTTGCTATGGAAACAACGTGACAGAGAAAAGGAGCCGGAGAAAAGTAATATCTACATATGAAGATGGAGAACGTAAAGGATAAAGTTTATGTTTAAGTTTAGCACCCCCCGAAGAGGCACAAGGTTGGTTTTAACTATAATATAAAAATGTGGGTTGTTTGTATAGGCTATTGTGGTGACCAACTATTTATACACTGGGTTCATAATTCATACATGGAACTACAGTTGGGGGTATTGTTCCCACACGGACATGTTATGTGTTTTACTATATGTTGTGTGCCCT